TCCAACCTTGAAATTGCTCCAATTTTTGACTTCTTGTGAGGTGATACAATAATAAATTCCTTATTGTCTAGGCCAGTTTAGTTAAGATTTGCTGCTATTTTCAGGTAAAAATAATCTAAGAGAAGTATTTAATGATATGTCTTCTTCCATATTTTTGAAAGCTTTGCTTTATTGTTTGACTTTTGATACTAATTTCAAATGAATGGATCCTTTAGGTAACCCGCCTTCTTTTGAAATTTGGTGCTGATGTAAATGTAAGTGGTGAAGTTGGAGATAGGCCCCTCCACCTTGCATCTGCAAAAGGATTCTTTAATATTGCAAAACTCTTGATGGAAGAAGGCAGCAAAGCAGATGGTAAGATTATATGTTTAGAACACTTTTGCTATCTTCTACTTTATGTATAGTTTTTACTTGCATTTTCCTTATTTAGTAGTGAATAACCCTGAAGCTGATTAATTGCATATGCTAATTTGTTTCACAAATCATAATTTATTATTTTTTTTTAAATTTTTTTTTTCAACGTTTATTTATTTTTTGGGACAGAGAGAGACAGAGCATGAACGGGGGAGGGGCAGAGAGAGAGGGAGACACAGAATCGGAAACAGGCTCCAGGCTCTGAGCCATCAGCCCAGAGCCCGACGCGGGGCTCGAACTCACGGACCGCGAGATCGTGACCTGGCTGAAGTCGGACGCTTAACCGACTGCGCCACCCAGGCACCCCATGGACTGCCTTCTTTTGACTGACAACATGATTTTAATTTTTATCCATGTTGTTGCATGAATCATAGTTTGTTCTTTTCTATTGCTAAAGATTATATGAATATTCTACAATTTGTTTATCCATCATCCTTCTAATGGATGTTTGAATGTTTCTAGTGTTTGGCTTTTATGAATGTAGATGCCAGAAACATTCTCATTCAATTTTGTGTGTATGTGTGTGAATATATATATTTATGTCTTTTGGGTATGTATATGGGAGTGTGTGTGCAGGTATGTAGCATTTCTGTATGCACATGTTTAACTTTTTAGGAAATTTCAAAGAGTTTTCCAAAGTGTTGGTACTATTTTTTACTCCTACAGCAATATATGAGAGTTCCAGTTGCTCCCCATTTATCCCCAATATTTGATATTACTATTATTTATGGTGGAAACAACATTACAGCATGATCAGGATGGGAGGAAAAAAAGCTTTAGCATACACAGAAAGATTTTAGGATGTGGTTAACAGAATAGAATTTCCCACAACTTTTAATTTTCTTAATAATAAAATGAATTTTAGAAAATTGATTAAAAGTAGAGTGTTAAAGAAAGTTATCCCTTTCTCTTACTTTTTCTCTTCCTTACAAACTTTATTTTTTGACACAAATTCACTTAGAGTTACATCTTGTCATTAAATTCTCTCAGGCACATCCAACATTCTTCCATTGACCCCCAAGAGACCTAATTAAAAGCCCAGCTGTAAGAGCTGCTGGCCTTTGCAGCAGAAACGATGCACATTTACAAAAGGACGAGGTTGTCAGAGCTCTAGAACTGCCAGTTCCTTGGTCCAAAATTGAGATCAATATTCAGTTCATAAAGCTAATCAATGTTTTCACCTACATGTAAGGAAAACACAAAGGCTTCCAGAGACAAGTGTAGCAAGAGGCAAGGGTAGTTTCCAGTTTCCATGTTGGAAAGAGGGCTATTTTATTTTATAAAGTTTGAGAAACATAGTTGGTGTCATTTTCTATGAGCCCGTATGTAATAACGGAGGTATTTCTTCTATAGCATTATCATAAATAACCTGTGTTGTCAGGATACAAGGAATGCCGTTCCTTAGACCTTGTTTAAGCAGTCTCTTTGATTCTGTTGGTTTAGAATAGGCAGAGGTACACCTGTATGAACCACTGAACACATAATTGTGTTTTTGAAACTGCCTCGCTCTTCCAAAGGGTCAGGAACAGCTCACTTTTTTCCTTTTATTATCAATGCCAACCTCAGCTTTTTATTCCTCTGTGCAACTCCAAAGCTCGGTGGTGTCAAAATGAGTATCATTGATCAGCATGTCTCCAGGATCAAAGTTCCTTTCTTACAAAAGACATTGAAATGAATATTGCACCCGTATTCCCCCTACATACCAGCATCATATGATAGAATTTTCAACACTTTCTTTCTGATTCACACAAGCACTACATGCTTTCTACTCAATCATTTAAAATATCAAGAGACAGCATGACTCAGATTTTTATGTATTTTTATTTCCTTCTAATACACACTTGATATTTAAGTCCCTTTTGTACTTCAACCAATTGCAAAGAATAAGCCGGAAGATCTGTTGTGCTACTGCACACTGCACAGGATTTATTATCAGCTAGTTCATTTATTCCAAAGTGTAGCTAAGCCTCCAGATGATTTATTTTAAATCTGGCCCTTGCCTGTGGTAAATGGACATAAGAGGAAGAGTAAATTAATGACCCCAGTAGGGGCACAATTTGAAATCTGGTATGTACAGTATGTTTCCATGGTAACAGAATGTCACAAATGAAAATAAATTCAGATTACAAAATTAGCCAACATGTAATTCTGAAAGCAACCTCTTCAGTTTAGCATGTTTGGAGGCTGACCTATTCAGTCATATATATGTTTCAAGTCTCTAGTTTTCTTTGTACCCCTTAGGAAAATGAAAAATAAAAAGGAGAAATGTAATGCTTATTGAATGAGATTGAAAAGGTCAAAATGTTTCTGGACTCCATAAGAAGAAAGTAGTGATCGAGTCCTCACAACTTATCATTTGAATAAAGTTAAATATGGGGGGTGCCTGGGTGGCTCAGTCAGTTAAGCCTCTGACTTCTGCTCAGGTCATGAGCTCGCTGTTCGTGAGTTAGAGCCCCGTGTCAGGCTATGTGCTGACAGCTCAGAGCCTGGAGCCTGCTGCAGATTCTGTGTCTCCCTCTCTCTCTGCCCATCCCCTGCTTGCTCTCTCTCTCTCTCTCTCTCTCTCTCAAAAATAAATAAACATTAAAAAAAATTTTAATGATGGGCGCCTGGGTGGCTCAGTCAGTTTAGCCTCCAACTTCGGCTCAGGTCATGATCTCCCGGTTTGTGAGTTCAAGCCCCGCTTCGGGCTCTGTGCTGACAGCTCAGAGCCTGGAGCCTGCTTCGGATTCTGTGTCTCCCTCTCTCTCTGCCCCTCCCCTGGTCATGCTCTGTCACTTTCTGTCTCAACAATAAATAAAACATTAAAAATTTTTTTTTAATTTAATGAAAATTTTAAATTCAGTTTATTAATTTTTTGTCATCTGACTATTAAATGCTACAGTTCCTTTCACATGGAACTGGATATTATATAAAATCACAAAAATTTCTAGGGCATGGCCGGTAAGAGGAAGTATTTTATTTCTAAAAGTATATCTTGTCAGAGCTATTACACAGATTTGTTATTTAAAATGTGTTTAAGATACATTAGGGAGTTGTTTTACAGAGCTAATGGGAAGTACTTACATTGCTGGGTTACTATGGAAATTTTTATTTTATCTTTAAGATCAATAAGGAGAGAGAAGCAAGAAGTAGCACCCATCCACCCACCCATTTACCTAATCTTTCTTTCAAAAGACTTTACTGAACACATGCTCTCTTCAGAAGTAGAGCACTAGGCGATAAATATTTTCCTAATAATTATTTACATCTACTTCTTTGGTTGAAATTCTTCTTTATTTAAATCTCCCAATAAAATGCTAAATTAGAGCAAATAGAATATCATTCATACATTCACTTACCCTTGGACAAGATATAATGATATATAGGGTTTTTTTGGTCACTGAAAATTGGCTCAAGACAAAACTAAGTAGATCACAATGACTGACACAGAAATATAGATGTGTATATATAAACTCTGTGTCTGATCTGGATATCTCCTGACTTGTTCCTTCCTTTGGTTGGTATTTATCTCTTCTTTGATGAGAAGACCATCTAGGCCACTGCTGGTAATTCACCAAGTAGATAATCTACTTTGAAGTTTATTGATTCAACTAGAGAAGAATAATGTTGGGTGGGGCTAGGGATGGCCACAGGCAAACTATGAATTAATGGAAAATTGTGCTGCACTCTGCTTTACAATGTCCCCTCTGGACCTCAGGAACTCTTATGTGACCTCCACTTGCCCTGGACTCCCTACTGTTGTAAAGCATTGACTCATGGTATTGACTTTTCCTGGCTTCCAACAGAATGTGAACAAAGGAGAAGTAGCATAAAAAGAAAGATAATCAAAATAACCGGGAACATTCTTCTGAAGCAAGGGTGTCCTTCTGAGCCACTCATTAATAAAAAAGATTCAAAGATTTATTTTTCAATAACGGCCATGGGAGGAGAAGTTCAGCGACTTTGTTAAAGATTTCCCTTTGGCTTAAGATCCTGCAGGACAATAAAATAAGAATCATTGTTTACAAATAAAGCAGCTACAAGGACTGTGTTCATTAAATGTTAAATGTTAGTTATAACAACAAGTAGTAATAAACTATTTGCACATTTTTTAAATTAACCATTACCTTCCCTTTCTTTTCTTTCCTATCCTTTCATTTTTTTCTTTAATTCTTTTGATTCTACGGATACTTTTTATTATAGATACATAAGAATGATAACATATGGGTTTTTTAAGGATTGTTATTTTGTATTTTGAATAAAATACCTTCTACAGATGAACAAAGTAATCAAATTCAATAAATGGCTATAAAGCAGATGATTCAGTTATTTTAGTTTTAAAAATTGTGCTACAGCAGATCCAGAATTTAGCAGCTTGGGTCAGTTGTTATTACTTCAGGCCTGTAATTATTGAATGTTCAACTAGATTGCAGGTTATTTGAGGGTATAGATGCTATACATTTATAGCATATTGACCTTAACACTTAGCAAACATCTAGGAGGCAAATTAGTGAAAAATAAGAATACACATTTTTATTAAGTGACTAATATGTTACAGGAATCATGTTAGACATTTTCTCATCATGATCTCTTTTAATCTTTTTCGCATCCCTGCAACAATAGTGTTATCATATCCATTGTTTTTGATAATAAAAAATCAGTGTCTTCAACACTTAGCACCCTGCTTGGCACACAGTGATCATTTTATACTTGTTGAGGAATGAGTATGTATCAATCAGGTGTTCTTATTTGCAAGCATTGGAAACTAACTCTTGCTAATTTAGGCGTAAAATGAATATATTAAAGGATACAAATTAGTGCAAAGTGTCTCCCCTGCACAGGATGGAAACCCAGGTTTGGAATTCTTACAGTGAGGAACAATATCCAAAATCACACCCCAAAAGTAGTCATTTAAAGACACATTGCCACCCCTGCTAGGCACACATGCCAACACTCTGTGCTCCTGGCACCAACCTTGCAAGGCACCGAATCTGTGACTGGAATCATTGCCTCTGGAAATCGGATGGAGCTACTCTACCATTACTACATTGCCAAGATAGGTTAGGTCTGCTTTTCTGTGTGGTCAGCTGTGATGTCAGTCTTATATAATGTGTCAACTGGAGGAGCCTATGGAAAGTGTCGAAAGCAGGACACTGTTGAAAGTAAAGGATCACCATTAAAAATAATGCCAGGATAAGAAGTCTAATCCAGGACATACGGTCACTATCTGCTGATCCTGTGCCCTAGCTGCAAAGGAGGCTTGGAAAGCATATGCTAGAACATGGGCTTGGCTTCTAGTCAGTTCTCTCAGTGTAGAAAATTCCCTAAATATCCAAAGTGGTTATGAGGCTGGCTGGGCCAAAGAGAAGGACAGATGCCCATTACTGAGTGAACACCTAAATATCAAAAAACTGTGGTAATATAATTAACACGGGCTGCCTCACTCTAAAGCTTATTGTCTTTTCTTTATGCCAGGCTTTGTATTCTGTCATATGATAATTCTCAGTTACTGGCACAACAGCATTTCCTAAACAGCGTTGTAAACATACACAGTGCTAGACCCCAACCTAACCTACTGACCCAAAATCTCTGGGAATGGTGCTTTAGCCAGGACCTGTAAGTTTTAACATCTTACAGAGGAGAAAAAAATCACTTTGGAAGGAGATACTTGTGGAAATAAGACCACAAAGATCTTTTGGATACTTATTAGTTTCCTGAACTATTCCATTTGTGCAAGGTAGATTTGATTAGATGCATTCCATAGAATTTATGGAAGCTAGAAGAAAGCCTGTTTAATGTGGCAGTGGGCAATGGAATAGAATTATAACTTTTTAAATTGGCTGCACTTAATTTCCTTTATTATTATCATTAATTGGTAATTTCCAGGAGTCTCTCGGGCACTTAGAAAAGTCCCTGACACTACACCTAAGAAGGCTGAGAAACAGAGGATTCCAGATAACATACTTTTCCTTTCTTGTTGATGACAGTGAATGCTCAGGACAATGAAGACCATGTCCCACTGCACTTCTGTTCTCGTTTTGGACACCATGACATAGTGAAGTACCTGCTCCAGAGCGATATCGAGGTTCAGCCGCACGTTGTTAATATCTATGGCGATACCCCTTTGCACCTGTGAGTAATATGTATAGTTCCATACACCCTCCAGCTCTACTACCTGTACTTTCTTACTACTATAAAAACATTTTCTTTAATTTTAGGGCATGCTACAATGGCAAATTTGAAGTCGCCAAGGAAATCATCCAAATATCGGGGATAGAAAGTCTGACTAAAGAAAACATCTTCAGTGAAACACCTTTTCACAGGTAAAATAATGTTTAAGTGCAATAGCCACTAAGGGTGGCTGATACACTTTGGCACCTGAAGTTGTGCACATAAAGCAAGAATGGAGAGTGGCAGATGTTGCAATCAGAGAGCAAGAGCAGAGGGTGGGCAGAGGACAAGGAGCCCAAGCTAGATGCACAGAAGAAAAGGTAGAGGCAGATGCTGCAGTCAGTACAACAGATGGGGCCAGAGCCAGATGCTGCATTCCTGGCAGCAGCCACAAAGACAGGGACTGATGTTGCCAAGGCAACAGGCATATCAACATCTGTAAGCATATTGCTTCTATTCCACTTCACTCAGCGGAAAGCTGCCAAAAGGGGCAATGCCCATAATCCTCCTCCGACAAGAATCTCATTACCAGAATTCATCAGCATCAAATGTGACACTTTTTTCCTTACCACTTAAACCTTATGTGCAAATGTATCTACCTATCTAAGACATCCATCTGTCAGCCTGTAAAAGCCTAGTCGCGGTGGCCACTGAGATACCTAAGAAGGCATTAACTCCTTTCTAGGAATGCATGAGAGTCCTCTACAATGTGCTCTAGAAAAGGAGGGAAAAGATTGCTAAAAATAAGATCCATAGCTCCCTAAAATATCCAAAAGTGAGGCAGATGTTTTATAAAAATTGATATGCTCGTTTTTAACAATGCGCTACTTTTGTTATAAAAATAACACAATACTTTGAATTTAATACACCTTGAATATAAAATCATTTACATACACATTACAGATTTCTTGGCTAGTTTGCAACCTCTAAAAAATATATTTAAGACTACTATGTTATTTACATAGTGTTTGTATTGCACTGGTGACTAATAGAAATGAGGAGACTTTTTTTTCATATGGAATTAATATTAAGCTTGTGCTTCCTGATAAGGCATCACCCTATCCAATATTGCTTGGATATTCAGATTTATCTTATCATACAAAAAGTCCAGCCAAAAGGGAGGTGAGAAAAACTATTTATGGAGTGCTGAGTATATGTCAGATGATTTGCACCCATTATTCTCATTTAATCCTCATAACCTTTTATGAAGTAGGTTTTATTATCCCTTTTTGACAGACAAGAAAGTTGAGGCTCAGAGAGGGTAAGTATCTGCCAGAGAATATTATGACTAGAAAATCATGTATTAAATACCTACCCGATTCCAAATTCTGTGCTTTTTATATGTCTTCATGTTCTAATACCAAAATATTATGTCTGTGTTCTGCATGTTCTGTAACAGAACAGATGCAAGAACTCTTTGGACCATGCTTTCAGTCAAAATTGGTCAAAGGGATAATTGGCAGAACTGATATGTACAGTTACTGGTGTCCTCTTTCCCCATTAGGTCATGCTTGTTAAGGCTGACACCTTAGGCTAGTTTTCAAATCATTTTGCTACTCTGTGCACATAAATTGGAACCGACTATAATCAAAGGATGATTGCCACCTCTAGAGTCTCTATGACAAGTTCAGTGAAGTGAGTTAAAAGTATGTATCGAATCGTTTTATTTTGTATAACCCTGTGGCTACTACGAATAACATATTAATATTTTTATTCTATTCACTTTAAGCACATATTTATAAAAGAAACTTTCCCTTTACATGAGGAGTTCACTCTGGTTCTGAAGTTTTTCTATGTAAAAATCACAGTGCTTTGCACTCAGTAGAAAGCATTCAATACATTTTGTTATTGTTTTCATATGTGTGTGTGTATATATATATATATATATATATATACACACACACACATACACATGTAATACATATGTATACACATGTATGTATATATTCGGAACTCATCAATTCCTGTAAATGGTCGCTTTGAAAAGAAACAATGAGACAGTTCAGACAATGGAACATTAAAAGTGTAGTGTTATGGATCCTACTTATAATGTGAATAATTAATGGTGCTTAGATCTTTTGCACTGAGTGGCAGCTTTTTATCCATTCAATTATTCGAGAAAGACTTATTAAGGACCTGCCTTGTATTGGCACTGGTAAAAACTTAAAGATGACACCGACCCTTCCCTCCTTAAAGGAACTCTTTTGTAAGATATCAAGGTAATCAGAGGTGTGTCCATTACCATAATGCAATGTGATAAGTGCCATAAGACTGAAATGACAAGGACACAGTGGAGATAGCAATGAACTTGGCCTTTGGTTCATAAGAAGTCTTCATAGATGGACTAACAGTTCGGCTAGATGAATAATGTATTTCTTTGAAGAAAATAATGATATTTAATTAAAGAATAGGGATTTGGGCAAGGTCATCTCAGAAAGAGGAAATAGTAAGATCCAGAGAACTACCTCTTCTAGAACTGAGTCTGGAAGGAAAAAACACTCAATACTTCACTTCAAAATACAGGATCCTAGCCATGTGTGAGTTGTTCCCACACCAAGCAGTTCTCCAAATCTTCTGCCAACACCAAGTGTGCGTCCTATAATTCAATTTAATTCTGATACTATCTACCTGGAATTAGTGTCAGATCCCACAGGTTAAGGGCTCAGGCCCACAAAACTGCCCACCCCCCACTTCAGATGCCAATCACAAGTCCAAGTTGTCACCTAAATCTCTCTGGACCCTTCTAAGTGCCCCCATTCAGTTGTCCTGCAGAATGCCTAGGACCTATAGGTAAAACTGAAAGAAACTTGCAATATTTTTCCTCCTTTTATGAAAAAGAGTATCATAGGAAATATTTAATAATAGTACACTAGAAGTTTTATTCAACTTCTTATCTCGAAGGCCCAGATTTGGGAATCTCAGGATTTTATTGCCATATGTGCTTGTTTTTTATCACTTCCTTCTCTCTCCTTTCCTTGTTCTCCCTTCTTTGTCTCTTTAACACTCTTGTATACACACTAGCATCTGGAATAGCCTGGTGAATCAGGACTGTATTCATGTTCTAGGGTTGCCATAATAAAATACAACACACTGGGTGGCTTGAACACCAGAAATTTATTTTCTCACAATTCTTGAGGTTGGAGGTACAAGATCAAGATGTCAGTGGATTTGGTTTCTTCTCAGACACCTCTCCTTGGCTTGTAGATGGTCATATTCTTCTTATGCCTTTTCATGATTGTCCCTCGGTCTGTGTCATCTGTGTCCTATTCTTCCTTTCTTATCAGAACAGCAGTAATATTGGATTAGGGCCCACCCTAATGATTCCATTTTAACTTAAATACCTCTTTAAATTGTACCCCTTTAAATACAGTTACACTGTGAAGATATAATGGTTGTAAGTTATAACATACTAATTTGTGGGGCACACAATTCAACCCATAACAGAAGTCTTTTGTTTTCTTTATGTTGTATTTTTGCAGTGCTTGTACCTATGGTAAGAGCATTGACCTGGTTAAATTTCTTCTTGACCAGAATGTTATAAGCATCAACCACCAAGGAAGAGATGGGCACACAGGTAAGGCATTAGTGAAACATAACCAGTTTTTGATGTATATCAATACTTAAGAATAGTGGGATGCTCAAGAGGGAAGGGAAAAGAGGGAGTGGTCAACCCTAATGAGGAGGGATATTTTATCAATGACATCATTTGGAATTGATGGTGCATGGTGATAATAAAAAGCAGACTGACTTTTGGTCAGTTTCATTATTGTGCTAAATTATCTACAGTTGATGTATCTATTATGATCTGTACCAGGAGAGACTGACCCCACTGCCTTAGCCTGGCTTGCTGCTCAAGAAAAACACTTGTTTGGGGTCTTTGTTCTTGTAAAAGGATTCTAACACTTGTTCTTGGTAATTTCAGTGGATGTAGAAATACTAGAAATTGTGCTAAACATAAGGAAATCTGTCCAGAAGATCAACTAGAATAGGATACTTCTTTTGCTTGAAGTATGTCATGTTTGTTCAATAAGTAGAATTAATTTTTCATCAAAGAAATCTATCTTTGATTTATATCTCTGGCAAAAATGCTATGATGTGGTAATAACTATCTTTTGAAAATTGGGGTTCGGTTTGCCTCTTTTCTCCTTTCATACTTTCATTCTATTATAGGATTGCACTCTGCTTGCTACCATGGTCACATTCGCCTGGTTCAGTTCTTACTGGATAATGGAGCTGATATGAATCTGGTAGCTTGTGATCCCAGCAGGTCTAGTGGTGAAAAAGATGAGCAGACCTGTTTGATGTGGGCTTATGAAAAAGGTATATTTTTTCATCATTGCATCTCTGTAGTGATACATTGAACTGTGTGCATAGATTATGTCAATATCAACAAGTCTTTTGCTTGTATGACTTGTGCACTCTGATTTCCTCTGTAGATTATATTTGACTTTGGGAACTTGATCAAAGAGTCCAATAGACCATCAGTAAGGCAGCCAACTCCTGGGCTGCAGGTGAGCTGAAGGGACTCTTGGTACTGGCACTTTAAAAAGAGAATGAGCTATAAAATTCTTAGGTATTGTAGAAATAAAATTGTGATATGTAACAATAGTTACTTTCTTAGAGTAGACCTAGAACTACACTGTATCTTTTATATATGGGAATTTTTATGTGAATTCAAATTTCTTTTGATGAAATAAATACAAAGGAAAGGAATATTTATTACATCTAACCTTGCTGACAATGACTGATCTAGAAAAAGTAAGGGAGCCAACGATTAGTGAATACATATAAACTTACTTCAGCTCAAAATGATGAAACTTTGGGCTCTGATGTGAGAACACCTGGGTTTACATCAAACCATGTTCTTTGATCTTGGACAAGTCACCTATTCTTGCTGACATTCACTTTCTTCATCTGAAACAAAAAGGGGAATTATCACAACTTCTCCTTCACAAGACTGTACAGATTAAATGAGAGGATGTAGGCAAATTGATTACAACACTGGCTAGCACATAGTAAGTACTAAGAATTGGTATTTCAGTAATTGTAACAGTAGTAATAGCAGTAGTTCATAAATAAAGATGACAAAAATTAATTCTTCATTTAAAGGGAGAGGAAACTAGAAATAATCAACAATGGAGCAACCTCTTTGTCATTGCTTAATGATGTATATGTACCTCATAAGCAAGGTTTGCTTATATACATACTCTCCTATGGAGTTTAAATTTCCAGGTGAATGAATGAATGAATGAATAAATAAATAAATATTCAGGTGAAATGGAATGATATACATCATCATTGAACTCAGAGGGTTACAACTAAATACCTAAAATATATCAAACTTTGGTGCCCACCTTTGCTGTCTTATTAGGATGTTTAAAGCACATAAAGAAGTGTTCTTATCTTTTTAAATGCTAGTAGAAGTCCATACTAAAAATGAGAAATTGCTAAACTTGAAGATTTCTCAGGCTACCAATTTGACCTAAAAGGTTTTCTGCCTGAAATAGGACATTAGATTCTATTAATTAAAAGAGAGATGGGGTTTCATTGATAGAAATGGGGAGTTGTTGTAAGCACATAGAAAGAAAAGTATGAATCTGAAGACTGCTAGTGAAAAAATGATTATCGGAGTTACTTTAATAGAGAAAAGTGAACAGACATGGTATAGTAAGAAATGAGTTAGATGTAGGCCTGTTATGTTTTATACTTTTTATTTGGGTATAGTGCAAATATACATGTGTGTTTGCGTGCACACGCACAAATTTTCACATTATAGCTCGATGAATTTTCACAAACTGAACTCACATCCAGTACCCGGTATCCAGATGAAGAAACTGTACATAGCCAGCACTTGAAATATCCACTTACATTCTTTTCCAGTCGTTCCCCAGAGAGGGTACCACTGCCTTCTTGGGGCATAAATTAGCTTTGCCTTTTTCTGTACTTTATAAATGGAACATTATGGTATGTACATTTTTTGGTCTGACTTCTTTTGACCAACAATTTGTGAGATTCACTCATATTATTGCAGGCAGTTGTATATTGTTAATTCTTGTTATAATGTTTTGTTATATCACTATTCATTCTATTGCTTAGGGTCACCTGGATAATTTTCAGTTAGAGACTATTAGGAATACTTTTGCTATTAGCATTCACATACATGACTTTTGATGAATTTCTGAATGCATTTCTGTTAGTTATAATGACCTTGTAATTTGTATAAAATAAATTCCTGGTAGTCTGTATTTGAGTATCTCTTTGAAAATCCTACATATTCTGAAGCCTTAGGAGGCCTTACTAAGTTCTAGTTACTCAACACATTGCATTTATTCAAGTGATTCTCAGACAGTGTCTCTCAAGAAACTTGAGTTTCAGAAAAAAGACTGTTTACAAAGCATTAGTCTTCCGGAAGACAGCTCAGATATAGCTGCTGTAGGTAACTCTTCACAGGGGTTGGCTTTGTTTGTTTTTAGTTGATTGAGAGTGATAGTTGAAAACTGGTTTTAGTTTTAGTTTTTGTGGACTTCCACATTTTAAGAAACAATGAATCATTGTGTAAGTTCCCAACATTTCGTATTGAATGACAACAACAAAAATCTTTTAGCATAGAGGATTTACCCACTGGTCTCTGCAACATATGCCATACTTGTCACCCTTATTTGTTCAACTAATGTGATAGGCATCGGTGTTCCATTTCATTATTACTATGAATTTTAACAAACTGAATGTTAGTGCTCAGGAGACAGATGGGTGTTTTGCATATGTTCTAGAGCAGAACAAGTCAAAACCAACAAAATGAAAATTGTTGCTATTTTCTCTTGGTAGAAAAATGTTGGATTGTTTTTGTGTGTTCAGGAAAGATTGAAATGACCTTGTTAAAATATTGTCAACAGTGCACTGTCCCTGTTTCCTTTGGATAAAGAAATGGATTCCTTTCTCCCTTAGGTAGGGAGTCACCAAATTGACCGATATAGCAGACTAAGGATTTTCCTGAGAAACTTGGAGATGGAGTTGAGAAAACACTAAGGCTTCACTTGAAGTTCCTTCTTCATAGGATAGAGATGTTATATAAATGGTCGCATCGTGGTTTACCCCGTACCTTATTCTCTCCTGGGAGAGATAAACCCGAAGGGAGCTTTATAACCAGGGTCTCTCTTGAAAAGGAGTACTCTTTGGATGCATCCAATTTGAATAGCTCATCCTAGTCTACCCTCTTAGTAGAAAATTGGGAGTTTTTTGCAACAGCACCGATCTTTTCTAAGAAAAATTTTTTACCTGACACCAACAAAATTTTTACCTTACCCTCTGCTATTCTGACATAGCAAATTCATTTCAGGGGTGCTTTGGAGTTTTGTAAGAGTTATAAACTCTCTTTTGGAAATTCAGAAAAGAGTTCACTCACTATGGGTCCCTGTGGAATCAGATATGAAGAACTGTTTCCATTTACATAGCCCTTTTAACCTAAAGATATCAAAATCAATCTTGGAAATAATTTTCCCTGTGAACTTGATTCTACACAGAAGCCTACTGGTTAAGTTGCAATATTTCTCTGCTAGACTGCTCAGAGCTCTAATTTTACAATATTTAGAGTGTTTCCCCTCCTCTAGCCTGCCACCCTCCCTTCTTTTCTACTATTCCATCTAACAGTAGTGATAGCTGTCTCACTCACTTGGATTTGTTCTGCCCTTTCCCTGGGGTACAAAGGACTTGTATGAATCAATTTAAATTGGCCAGAAGAAATAGCCAGCAGCCTGCTTATGTTCAAATCCTCTGCCCTAATCACCAGTATGGAAAACCCATTGAAAAGACCTACACATAATCTTACATCCATTGCATTAAAGATGAAACTGCCGAATTGAAAAGATCTCAGCCAATTAGAATTGAACACATAGCTCAATAGTGTGTCTGGCAGTTAGATTTGAAAAGGCTGCCTTTGACAAAGAAAAGCACTTCTTTATGTCAGGCTGTTTAGGGTCAGAAAATAACCCAAACTAGAAACAGAACTAAAAACTTCTTATTTGCTTCAGTACTGACACCAGTTAAAGTAATTTACAGAGGCTCCTATCCCAATATCTAATTACACAGAATACAATATTTGTATACATCAGAACCACTCTAATTCACAGTGACAGGGAGCTGCAGTTGGAGAATTAGTGAGTAAGTGAGCAAAAACAATAAAAATCAAGGCTCCTGTACCATGATATATACTTTGTTCATTCCTTTTGACAAGTGTAGTATGGTGTGAATTATTTATAGTAAACGTACTATCGTGTATCCTCTAAAAGTAATAAAGTCTTACAGTTGTGAGTTTCTACAGTTTTCAGCCAGTAAAAAAAAAATAACTAAAAGAAAAGAGTGGGGAGGAGTTGAAGGAAGAGTAGATTCATTAGGTTTTTTGATAAATCTTCATCAGTGGGTTATAAGTTCCCAAGTTTCTTCTATATTGAATTCTTACTTATTTGGAGTTTAGTTACTTAGTTTAGTGTGCTAGAGTAAATTATGGGTGGGGTAGAAGAAGGAAGAAACAAAAGATTTAGATGGTATTTCAAACTCTGTGTTCATTTTATGCATACTGGTTACCTTTCTACATGTTTAGTTACTTTCTCTTTTAAAAATAAATAAATAGAATAATATCAACTCTCGTTAGAATGGTCAGAACTTTCATTTTTGTAGGGGGATAGCACACTGAAATATTTTTTGAAACATAATAACTATGTAAAAAGCTGCATATACTAAAATGGATAGTAGAAGAGAACTTCCATTCATTACATGCCTATTACACAAGCATATACATGCATGCATAATTAAATTATCAAGATAACCCTTTAAATTGGGATTACCTTTCTATTATAGTTTAAAAGTTTGAGACTTAGAGCTGTTAAGTCACAATTGCCCAAACCACACAGCTCTTAAGTGGATAGCTGGTACCAAACAGAGTTCTGTCTTATGGCAGATTTCAAGCTCTTACCACCTTGCTCTAGAATCAGATAGATCTAAGTCCAAATTCCATCCTTAGTATTTAATGACTTTGGGCAAGTCATTTAACCATCTCTAAGTCTTAATCTTCAAATTTAAAATGAGTAAATTAATGACCACTTTACAGAATTCTGAAGTTTTGGGATAACATCTAAGTGTCGGGAACATAGCAGATTCTCAATAAAAATAATGATATTTGTTATTATTATATGTATAACAAAGATTCAGTCAAACTTCATATAACCCCCAAATCTCATAGTCTTTCCTAATTTACAACATGTTTTAGTGTCCAGTAAGAAATATGACATATTGACATATTAGAATCATTGAAGGGTTTATATCCC